TTAGAAGAACCACGTTCACCAATGAAAGAAAAAGTCAATGTCTCTCACTCCTTAGTTTCTGAACAGATAAGGATATTAGATTTAAGGTGCTGTGGTCCTGATGATGCTTAATTACAGGGGTCTCTGTTGGTGTTAGGGTTAGGGTTGGCTGTTGGAGTCTCTGTAACTACGCGTAATGTAGTTGCATCGCCTTACTTCTGTATAGTGCTAATACAAGTTGTGAGAGCATGGTAGTCGGTTTCTCATATATATCTTACTTGCATGTTTTTATAGTTAAGCTACACACCTTGACATAGATATCACTGCCATTCTGTCAGTTATCTTAGCAGTTATTGACCTTACACTTTGCATTATACTGTGCATAGGGCAGTTTGCCTTGCTCTGAATCTTGAACTGCTGCAACCTAATCTGATTATTGAAAAAAAGAGAAAATTATGAATGTTGATTCTTCATACTGATCCTATAAAATGCATTTCAGTTATGAAGGTTTGTAAGTTGCTAATGGCCATAAACCATTTTTATTATATTAATCATTTTGAGTTATTAGTTATACATTTTGTACTACCTTCTACATTCTCCTGTATTATCTAGTTACTCTCTCTATACCTATGGATGCATTATTTTACCGATAGCATTTGTTACCTGATTGTTTTTCACAGCTTCTTGTAAAAATGTAAGAAACATAATTCTACAGTCTTGTGAGATAAAATTGGAGGGCCTATGTGGCATATCAGTAACTCTTTTATGAAAGAGAAGTTTTCACATATATTAAGGGAAAGAATATGTTTCTTGAAGACATGTTTTATGAATAAATTTGGAACACCTGAGTAGACAATATAGTTAAATAAAATTTGTAAAAGTGTAGGTAATTTGTGCATTCAGGTTTTGTTATTTTGCATGCATTCTCACTTTAATTACATAAGAATTAATTACGCATTTTTCTGGCCACTAAGTTATTCCAAGAAATTGTTGTGCATTAGGGACACCATGTTAGCAGCAAGGATGAATATATTCGTATCCTTCTTACCCAGGGCATCCTCAAGAAAACAAAAGCAAATGTAACATGAATGTTGAAAGTAATAAGCATTCTTCAGCCTTACAATGCTGTATCTATTTAACATCTCATTTATTCCTATGCCATCAAGTGGTTTTGGTCTGCTGTCCATAGAATTGCTAGTTCCATTGTTTATTAATACACAGAATGTTCATCAATTATCTTGCCTTATTTCATGAGTAATTAAATGTTCCTAGTTTGGCCAAAAAATAATAATACAATAAAAATCTTAATTGGCTTCCTCTCAGCTATTCATGGCATGATCAGATAGCCCTGTCTCCAGCTGTTAATTGCACTAAACATTGATTGATAGGTTCAGCCAACACAATTATGGAAAATGAAGCATATTTTTTGAAAAATACTGATGGAATTAGAGGCTGTAGGGTGTTTTTTTTCAAGACATATATTAACATAATGAAGCAGGATTGAGGTGTGAGAGTGATTTAGGAATTGTGCTGGAGTTTTTTCTTTGGAGAAGAATTGTCCACTAAATATTTAAGAAAAGCACCACACCTTTCTTCAGTGCAGAGCATACTTATTCTTTCCTTCCTGGAAGGTGCACTATGGTACATTCTTGGGTTTTTTATAATTCATTACACTTTCAATAGCATAGCAGCAGTAATAAAGTTAAGGTAAAATGAAGCTATATTCTAGTTAATAATCATGTTTTTTATCACCATGATACAATAAATATTTTCAATGCTGTTGCAGCAGAAAGAAGGCTCTCATAATGCATACACCACTCTAAGACTTGGGAATAAGCAGTTTTTACTCTGAATTTCAATTTCTCCCAGGTTTTGGAGCCTTTACCATCACTCCTTTTTGTTACACAGGTTGGTTGCTCCTTTTTGGTTTTGGTTTGGTTTTCCTATCACTGGTCTTTGCTACTTCTTTTTTTTCCCTCCTCTTCTAAATCTGCTGCTCCTGCAAAGCTTTATCCTCCTTCTTTTGTAAGTCTGCAATCTTTTGCTTTCACAAGCATATTTTCTCTGTTATTCTCTGTATCTGTTCATCTGTTCCTCCAGGGCAGATCCTCCTATCTTTCTTCTGCTTTTTTCTCCAGTACTTCATCATGGAAGATTCATTGGCAGCTCAGATTCAAAATGGGTGTAGAAGTAAAAGTTATCTTTTCTCTGAAACATTTCCACCATCCTACTTGCCATCCGAGCTCATATAGCAGTGCTTAGCCAATCTTCCTCCACAATTTATGGAAAGCCTGTCCTTTTCTCTCCATACAGACAAATGTCACTTTTCATAAGCTTTTTCACTTTTTAAGACTTCTTGCACATCCTCCTTAGCATCTGTATTGCTAGTCCATCCAAAATACAGCTGGTAATACTGCTGCTCTCATCCGTCAAACCATACTTACATCTTCTAAGCTCATCTTTATCTTCAAGATGTTCCACAGTATTCTCTCTCAGCCTATAAATCAGACCAAGTGTTTCCTCCTCGCAGCGATTCTGCTCTATCAATATATTAAGATTACATATTCTTAATAATTCCGTGACATCCCCTGTGCCTGTCATGACTTCACTATTCTGTAAATTATCGGTCCTTTCGGTTCTTTATTTACATATACTGTTTTTCCACAGTACACAAAAATGAAAAATTTGTAGCCATTCAGATAATGAAAAACTGAAAATAAATCACTAGTTCTGGCCATGTCCCACTTTACTGTACTTCTCCATCACTTTCTCATATCTTTGGGGCAAGGTTTTACTATTTTTATCTTATATAGAACACTAGTCTATTGTTAGCCCTAAGATAATTTATCAATCATCTTGAGGACTGCTGCATGATTGTAAATGGATTTAAATTAAAATTAACTGGCTGAAGCTTTGTTTTCACAAGCCTTCAAGTGTGAAAGATATTCATAGATACCAGAGAGTATTGGAGTATTTTTATTTGGTCATTATATCCTATAGTGATATTCTTCTTGACGCGATATTCTTGGTCAAGTCACATTTTCAATGATTTAAGTAATGGATATACTTCTTCATCCCTTTGGATGTTTCTCTATTACACAGTTTAATAGATCACATTTTTAAAGGAGTTGGTAGGGACGTAAAATGGTCTTTAGAAGCACTAAGCATTGTCAATACAGTATAATTGACAATGAATATATCTGAATACATCTGAATGTATATATATATATATGAAACATCTGAATATATTATTTTTGTACTTTTAAAAGTGCCTGTGGCCATTCTTCTCTTCAGGTAAGCCAGTGATCTCACCCATTTGGAACATTTCATGTGCCTTTTATGTTATTTTGAAAATTCTTTTTGTGGAATTCAGGGTCTCCTGAGAATGAACATTTTCTGCATTGCAGGGATCCAGTGAGGGGGAGTGAAATACAGGACATCCACACTCTGCTCTGAAGCATCTTGAAAAAAACGTCCTCTTTAGCTCACCACAGATTCAGAAGAAAATATAAAATGTGTTCTGATGAAATGTAGACCATGCTTTTCCAAACTGACATTAACTTAATGCTATTTTACAAAATTTCATTGTTGCCAATTTGCCAGTGGGTACAACCTGTTAAAACATGAACTGTATCTGAGAGAACACTGGAGGAACATAGTGGAAAACTATTTGCTGTGCATATCTATCCATACTCCAAGAAAGATGTCAAGGGTGACATTTCCGAAAGTATTATGTGATTAGCCATGTCAGAAAGGACTAAAGTAGCTGAGTGACTCCCATTTCAGTTGCGTGTGGTGTAAGGTATCCTCTAAGGAGTCCTCTACCCATCAGGAGCTGAGACAGTGCCATGAGAATGTTTTGCCACATCTGAAACCCCATAATTTACGTGTTAGTAGCTCAGAGGTTGCAGTAGCAGTTGCATCCAGACTTTTACTAATGAAACAAGGACATCTGGCCTCAAACAGAGTGGTTATTATATCACTTGTAATGAAGATTTCCATTTTCAGCTTCTTGTAATCAATAGCCTATAACGATGTGAGTCCCTTCAGAGCCAAATAACTGCAGTCGGGTCTTAAGTGTTGAAATCTCTTACACTGTTATAGCAGTGTGCAACTTTTGGCTGTACTGATTCCCCTAAAGGTAGAGGAAGTAGATAGGGATATTTAAACACTGCTTAGTACTCTGAAAATTTATAGAAAATTAAACCAGGCGGTGCCTTATCAGAATAAGATTTTTTTTGTGAATAGGGGTGAGTAAACAGTAAATACAACAACCCAAAATATATAGGTTATTAAACAGTTTGGCTTCATTTTGACAGAGTTAGTGTAATGTATTATTGTTTTAGTCTTAATTTGAAAAAAGTTAACAAATAATGTTTTGATATTGTCTTGAAATGCTTACAGTCTAGGCAGACAACATGGAGATTAAGTAAAACTGCATTTGAATCATGAACAGATGTGCTCTTAAGGCAGAGAAAAGTTTCCCATTAATTGCACCACACTCTGTATTTGGCCCAAAGTGACCCAGAAAACACTCCATTAAGGACATCATCTTTTTAATGTTTTTATTGGGCACTGAAAACATGCAAATGAGCAATTAAGGCCTCCTGGGAGCCCCCTGTCCATGAATGTTTTCAGGACTGAGGTTTTAGAGTGTATGTGGTGATATTTATCTCACTGTGGGTTCGTGAACAATAGTGAATTTCATATCAGGACAATTTTCTTGCATCTGTTTTCCAGCTGGTGGAACAAGATAATTTTTCTTGTTTATTATTTAGGTATCCCCTCTCACTGTGTTGGACATGGGAAAAATTAAACAATAAAAAGAATCAGAAAATGTTTATTCCAATTATTTTTACAATAAGAAACAATGAATGCGAAATGTGCACATGCTGTTTTTTCTCATAGCTTGAATATCTTATGGCTTCTGTTGTATTTCATTCTTTTAGGCCTTTCTCTGACATCTGCCCGTTGCATAGCCATACGTATTAGATGACTTTGGGACTTGCTTTACATCAAGGATGAAGGGATTATCCAGCAGCCGTAGTCATCATCATGGGGTCACCTGTGACCCTCCGTGTGACAGTCTGCCACACCACCCGGACAGGAAGCCATATTTGTTAAACCCGGTGGACCCCCATCCTGCAGACCACCCTTACTACACTCAAAGGAACTCTTTTCAGGCAGAGTGCATGGTGCCCTACAATGATCAGATTGCCAGCAGCACATTTCCCCGGAGGCATTACAATTCCCACCATGAACTGAAGGATGAGTGTGCTCTGGTTCCCCACGGAACTGCCAACAAGACCAACCGCATTCCTGCCAACCTTTTGGCCCAGTTTGAGCGGCAGCTGCCTCTGAATCGGGATGGCTACCACACTCTGCAGTACAAGCGGACTGCCATGGAACACCGCAGTGACAGTCCAGGGAGGATCCGGCATCTGGTTCATTCCGTCCAAAAGCTCTTTACCAAGTCCCATTCACTGGAGGGACCATCCAAGGGGAGTGTCAACGGGGGCAAAGCGAGCCCGGAGGAGTCGCAGACGATGAGGTATGGGAAGCGCAGCAAGAGTAAAGAAAGGCGATCAGAAGGTAAGCCCAGATCCAATGCATCAGGATGGTGGAGTTCAGATGACAACTTGGACAATGATGTTTGCATTTATCATGGTCCCAGTGGGGTCATGACCATGGGAAGATGCCCTGATCGTTCTTCTTCCCAATACTTTATGGAAGCCTATAACACTATTAGCGAACATACTGTGAAGTCATCCAGAAGCAATAATGATGTCAAATGCTCTACCTGTGCAAACCTGCCTGTGAATTTGGACTCCCAGTTAATGAAGAAAAGCTCTTGGTCCTCTACATTAACCGTGAGCAGAGCCCGTGAAGTTTACCAGAAAGCGTCAGTTAACATGGACCAGACAGTGGTGAAGGCAGAGACGTGTCAACAGGAACGGTCATGTCAGTACCTCCAGGTACAGTGTGGAGAACTGATTGCTGTTAACTGTGCTCTGCCTTGTCTCAGGTGTTTGTGGGGGATGGAGGTTTGCTCTGATATTTCAACTTTCCCGAGAGGTCACTGATCACCAAACAAGGGGTAATGCTGCCAAAATTAAAAATAAATCTGCTTTTTCTTTTCTTTTCTTTTCTTTTTTATTTTTTTCCCAGCATTCAGTATTTCAAAGAAACAGTTCGTATTGGAACAGGTTTATTTTTTTCATGTGGGAAAAATAAGACCTTTCTGTGTACTTTTTGAATTTATAAGGCAGTCACAGTAGGGGTATAGGGAATTTGATGTTGTAGTGCTTGCATTTAGCATTACAGTGTCAATTAACCGAATGTTACCAGGATACAAATTCTTTGATTTCTGTAATTTCAAGATTTGCCTTCATTTACTGCCTATTTTATTATGAAAGCTTTTGAGACCCTTTTGAGAAACTTTGGGGTACCTTAATACTTTCTCCAGCAGGAAAACAACCTACTTTCCTTTTTGCAATAGAATATAAATTCTCATAAAACGGTTATTGTAACATGTCCAGATTTGTTTATCTGGCTATTCCTCTTTCTCATGGCTTTGAGTCAAAAACAAAAAATCAAAAGGTTGAAATTATTGCTTGTTCTGATTATACATTTTAGGAGTACATCACCTACTCCCTCACAAGCTGTTTGCAGTTAATACAGCGTCACTATTTTTCACCAGTATTGTATCTTTAAATGTCAAGAATCAGATGTCTGCTCTTGGAGCTATCATACTGCCGGTGAATGTTTGTGGCAGGAACATGGATCAGAAAATATTAAAACTGTTTCATTCTTAGGAGAGCTGTGGATAGCTTTTATGCACTTTAAACGAAGCACTTATGGCACATCTAAGTGTGTGTGTAAGATGGAACAACGTTGCGCAGAGAAGAGAGAAGACCATGAGGAAAAAAGAGGTTTGCTAAGATGATTTGGTTTCCTTTTAATGTAGCGGGACTCTTGTCTATTTGTATAGAAACTGTAGCGAGTTCTCTCATATGGGTGCTTTAATGAGACAAGTCAGCTTCCACATTCTGTTGTTTAAGTCAGTACGCAGCGAAAGCGTAGGACTGAGGCATCCGCATATAAAAATTGATCTTAAAAGGTTTTTATTGAATGGCATGCAAAATCATTTTGAATGCCAGCCTCTGGGATTCAAAGTTTTAAATGTAAAGTAACGGAACTATGTATTTTCTATTAATTGTTAGGAGAGTGGGGTGGGGGGAGAGGGGGCAATATGAATGCTCAGTGTGTGTTTACAGCTATGCATATGGACTGGGGAGGGAGAGGGGTTTCAAAATAGCCTCAGGTTGCAACCTTTTGTGTTTGGTTTTTTTTTTTACATTAAGTATCTTTTGTCTGAATTTTGTGAGTGAGAAGAAATTGTAACTTTAGGCTTGATTGTTGTGGTTACTTTGAACCCTGAGATTTCTTTTGTTGATGTTTTTGTTTACTCCTTCAATCTTCCTCTCAGGTTTAGATAAAATAGCTGACAATTCAGTATGTGACCAGATGGCTAGAAAAGAGCGAAAAACTGTGCCAGCATCAGCTTTAAATGAACACCTCCATAGGGACTTTTAGATAATGTTTAACTGACAGGAATAGACTCTTGAAGTGGAATTAGAGGACATTATCTGTGTCTGTATAAAAATACGTCCAACAATTGTCAAGGGCAGGAATTAGAATAACTACATTTTCACTGTGTTTCCCATCCTCCCTGGTAGTTTTATTTTGGTTTTCATTTCATTTTCTTTCATTTTTTCTAATTATATGCTTGTTTGTGAAAGCCAGGGAAATATAACTGGTTTAAAACTGGTGTCTAAAACAAGAAAATCTTAACCAGGCTCCGGTTGACATTTGAAGTAATATTCAAACATAGTAGCGTAGATTTGAGGAAGCAGGTCAGGATTATTCTTCTCTCTTTGCAGCTTGAAAGGATGCCAAATGGATATAGGTACTAAAAAGTCAGTCTATTTTGAATGCATACCGTTGCCTTTCTCTTCACTATATCACTCATCTTTTTACACTACAAGCCCTTTGGGGCTTGGACTTTGTTCCCTTTTGTGTTTCCACAGTGCCCAGCACAATGGAGCACACAACCTAATTGAGGCCTTTTGGCTGTCCTACAATGTAAATATATATTAACAGCAGCAGAGTATAACTCCATTAGTGGGCTGCAGATGTATACTGTATATCTGTTTTTTTCCTGGTGACCTTCTCATCATTGTACCAAAAGGCTGGTGTCCTATGTTAGAACAATTAGAAACACACTAAATGAGATGAAAGCTGGAAATTCATGACAATACTGGGCAACTCTGATAATTTATTTTCATTATTATGACTCTTCTTTGTTGCTTTATTTAACTCATTAAATGTTAAATAGGTGCTTTTATCAACTCACTTGTAATTTAAGATGTTGTTTATGGTCCAGGAAATAAACTCTTTGATCCTTGAAAGAGGCAAATATTTAGTTCATGCAGAGTCTTCTTGTGATAGCATCTGAATTCAATGAAGGAGTGACTTTTTTCAACTCAGGGTACTCAGGATAATTTTCTTTTTCCTGATAGATCTGACTATATCAGAGATTAGAGATGACATTGACTTCACATTTGCTTGTAAGGGCTTTTATCACAAAATTATCTGGATGAATTCTCAGTGTAAAGTGGAAATAACAAATTATTATCTCACTTGGTGTGGTATTTTCCACATAACCATTCTGTGGAAGGAGTTGGCAGTGGTTCGCGTTACAGATGGGCTTATTTCTCATAATTTGAAATTTGGATCGAGTGCAGAGTCCTCCTGCATTGCACAGTCTTTCTTCACCCCGGCAGGCTCCGCTTCAAGGCGCAGTGTCCATCCTTGGAGGTCTAGGGGAGGCTTGGCTCCACACTGCGCGTCTTCAGAAAGATATTAGCTCCCAGACTAGTCTAAAGACTGTCAAGCAAACCTTTTCCTCTCACCTGCGTTTCAGGAATGGAATTGTATTTTTCTTTTCTCTCTATTTCTTCTTTGAAGACTGAGGAGCTGGATAGTAGAAAGATCAGGTCCTTTTTTGAGCTGCTTCTTACTTCAGGAAAGTGCTTTTATTTGATCCAGATTTACATTTGGACTAATTTGAAGGAAGGTGAGAAGGAACTGTTTGTGTTTTCTCAGAATTCTTCTTCAAAATGGTTTCCCTCCCTTGAGAGTCTAATTTATAAAGCAGTGGACAGCCTCTACTTCTCTGGTAGCTTCTACTCTGGAAAAATTAAAATTAAGCAAAATTATCGAAGATGAAATGTAAGCAGCAGTCTTTTTCCGTGAACAATAGGGTCTAAATACACGCGTAGATATTTTTGACACTCTGTTTTCTATGAATTCGTGATTGATGAGGCTAATAGAGTATCAAATACACTGCAGAGTTTGTCTCTGATTATAGTTTTGCCATTCACTGTTCCCTGTAATTTCTATTCCCGTTGTCCTTGGTCCATTCATTAAGAGATGAAGAAAAATACAAAGGATGACATTTTTCGTATTATTCCTCTTTTCTTCTTTTCTTGGTCAGTCATATGTTTTCTTTTGATCCCATTTGATAAGACTGAAGTCGGTTGTGTCAGATACTTGGGGCTGAGGATGGAAATTTTACTTCTGAAAACTGAAGTGCAGTAGGTGGGGATGATGGTGCAGCCACCCAAGTTCCCCATTTTTGTCTCTTGTTCTTCTAGAAGACTGTGAGAAGTATTAAAAAGAAATATAAGCTAAGTTTCTAGGTGTACTGAGCATTTTCTGGTGGTGAAGGGCTCTGGTTCGTACTGTGCTGTTTCCTCCGTGAAAGTTGTCTGTAATGTGCATTATTATATAATCTGTCGTGTTAAGAAACTCATAATTAAAGTGGCTTGTTTTCCAGTCTCAGCACAAGGCTTTTAGGAAGTTTCTTAGGAAATACTGCTCAGTCTCAGCCTCCTTCTGTTGCCCGTGTCCACGGATGGCCAAATAGAGGGCATCACCCTAGGTCAGGGTGCTAATAAGGCCCAGTATCTGTCATATGATTTGTTAACACTGTATGTTAAATTACAAAGTGTTTATCCTTACGACACAGCGGTTTATGTTAGATCTGTTATACTGGGATTATCTATGCAAGTCTATCGGCATTTTCAGTTAATCTGTACTTCATTCGTGGTGTTTGCGTTTCTGTCGCAACTATTATTCAAACTATTTTTTCAGTATGTCTTTGTATGTATATATATATGTTTTATTTCAATATCCATTAATATTGGCCGTCCATTTTTCATATATCTGAAGATCTGCCCTTTTTTTCTCCGATTCCCATTATAAATTGAAATTTATATTCCACTTCAATTTTCCAGTCAGAATTACAAAGTATATGAGTTATAGGTCTCAATTTTTTTTACTGAGCTCACAGTAAACATATTTCTCAGTAAGTCTAGTGGAACAATTTGAAAAATTATGAAATAAAATGTCAAATGTTATAATGTATTCTAGGCCAGCTTCCAGGTAATGGTATAATCATGAAAACTTTTGGAAATTCTTAAATGTTGATGTATTTTAAAATAAACTAGGATCTAAGAACATTAAAACTAAAAAAATATCATTCACAGAGAGCTAATTTATTTCCGTTTTAAAATTGTGAGATAGGTAATATGAATAATGTATAAAGTTAGGGAATTTATGGGCACTTGGAAAATATAAATAAGCCACAAAATAGTTTATTTACAAAAAATACATTAATAACAAATAATTCCATTGAACCTACTTCTTGGTTATTTAGCCTACCTGCAAACCTACCCAAGAAGTCTTATATTAAAAGAAATATGTAGGAGAGTATTTCAGTATTGCCCTCATCATCATCTTTACAGTCCTTTAATTTACCCGAAAAAAAAAAAAAAGAAATTGTCGGCTGAAATTGATCTTGCCACATATTTCACCTTAACAACTGCTGTGTTCTCATTCATTTAATTAA